GCTCTCTCTGGCGGTGACCTCTTTTCTGCTCCTAGTGATTCCATGTTCTTCATCGACAAGTCGCAAGGTTTCTCTCTTTATCCTTATTTTGTTTTTTTTACTGACTTTTCTTTTTTGATTCCTGGGTATATATTAATATGTGATGTTTAGCTTGATCATGTGTCTCATCTTATGTCTATGCTGTTCTGATCTTTGTGGTAGCTTTGCATAAGATGAGTTTCCTGTCATTTGAATTTCCTTTATATGAATATGTAGAAATGGTTATTTATCAATTGATATATGCCCTTCTGTTAATAGTGACAGATTGATGCTTAACTCATTTCCATCAATGAATTCTTTGGTTTATTATAGATAATCATAAGGTTATTGATTGCTATTTCCATGGTGATTCTAGTAAATTGGAAGAGAGATGGCTTAGAAATGGATTGGAAGGATCCTCCTGTCTTACTGATTTGAGTTTGAATTTCATGTTAGAGGGTTAGCATTGATCCTTTGACATACTATCAGATGTGCATGTATTTTAGTTAGCCTTGTGAACTAGAAGTATACATTTTCTTAATCCAAAAAATGGAAGTTTTAATAAGCAGAGTGAAGTATCAATTCCTTACTCGTGTTGGCTTTGGGCCTTGTGTGACATCTTTTGTTCACTAACTATTTCCCATTTTTTTGTCTTTTTTGGTTGCATGGTTTGTTTTCTCGGTAACTTTTCTTTTCCTTTGCACTGTTTAATGGAATCCATCCATGCTCTCTCGTACCAGATCTTTCAGCGAAACGTAAGATTGAAAAGCACAGAGAAAAAGTGCTCCATTTTGAGAGCATACTGCAATGCAATCCTTTTGTTCAGGCAGTTCCGTCTTCAAAACAGAAGTCCAAGAAAAAGCAGAAAATAGTCGTGAAAGAAAATGTTGTGGCTCAGGGTGGTTCCAAGGTGGATACTTTCTATGTTAGAAGAATATTCTTTTGATTTTACCACTGTATGGAGCTAACTTTCTGCTCTTAATTTGTTCCTTCAGGAGGACTCTGTTCCTGCATCTGACATGATTGACTTGTGGGAAAATAAAGGTTTTATATTGCAGCCCTTACATTTTAATATTTTCAATTTTTAGTTTTTAGAGATTTTTTTTAAAGGGTTTCTTCTTTCTCTTGCAGGTGAACATAATAACAATGCTAGAAAGGTAAATCATTGTCGCAACTATTTTTAGGAATTTGACTCTAATGACTTATTTTTTGTTTCATGTAGTCGATGTAGGGGATTCTTTTTTGACCTGGAAGTACTTCAGTTATTTCTATTATGTTACGCATTTTTAGTTTTAAAGGTGCCGTAGCTGATGAGCCAGTAATTGGCAGGTAACCAAACCTACATGTATTCCAGCAGTAGAAGTTGAGCATCCTGGATGCTCATACAATCCGACATTTGAAAGTCATCAGGTAATTCTTCTTATTCCTGTATGCAGCTAATGTGCTTCTTATTCCTTTCTGATACTACTACAAGGGTTTTGCCTTATATTTCTGTGCAGGATGCCTTGGCGGAAGCAGTTGCTAAAGAAATGCAGAAAGTCTATCAGGATGAATTGGGACCCCAGCCTGTTCCATTAACTGTTCCTGGGGAAGTGATTGATGACGAAGATGTAAGTGTATGCTGTTGCTTCCATCCATTATTACCAAAATGTGGCTGTAACTGCATAAAGGTGATACAATATCATGCATCTAGAAGTAAGCACTTAAAGCAGAACTCTTACAAAATCCAGCTAATTTTTCAGAGGTTATTTCTTGATGTGGATATTGGAAGCGATGATGATGATAAAGATATGGAAAACTCGAGTGAAAATGAGGATACTGCATCCAAGAAAAGGTAAGCTCTTTGCCATGGTTTCTGTTGTGAGTGTACTCTTAACCTCCACTAGATAGATCCAGATAATCAAGAGTTTGGGGGAAGAAAATTCAATCTTCACCGAAGAGAACATCCCTTTGAAACTTCTGCAACCTCAAAACATGCTTTGGTTCCTTAGCAACGGCTCTGATGAGAGCAGGCATCAAGCATGTATCTTCCAATAATACATAGTAGATGATTTTTCTTGCTAATTGCCTGTTGTGCTAGTATCTATAGACTTCAGTCAAACTGTTCTCAAGCCTGTTGTCAAAAATAATTTGTGAGCTTTTAGTGGAAATAATTTTTCTTAGATTAGGAGTTAGAATGATCAAATTTTAATATTTGTGGATTTGTTTTTTGAATAACCATTCTGCAGTTCTTCAAAGACAAAGAGGGTAACGCGAGTGGAGTTGAATAGGAGAGCTAGACGGAAGGAACGACAAAAAAAGGAAGCGGAGGCAAAAAAGCTGGAGGAAATTTCAAAAGAAATAGACAGGTAATATGTTATCCTGCATCTCTTAGCAAATTTTTCGATAAATAAAATGCACTGACTATTTTGCTGGTTTACCTTTCTGCAGCTTGCCAGATATCTTACAAGAAATAGCCGAAGAGGATGCAGAGAAGAACAAGAGACATCTGAGGAGAGTTATAGCCAAGCAAGAAAGATTAAAGTCATGTCCACCTCGGTTGGGAAAGCACAAGTAAGCTAACTTTTCTTATTAAACATTCAGTCTGCTAAAGGAAAAGGAAACTTCATCAGCCTTTGATTCCAATTCCGATTTTGTGTGGTTGATTTGTTTACAAGAAATAGCGTGCATTTGGAAATTTCTGGCAGTAAAACTTCTTTCTTTTCTTGTAACTCCTAACCCTACTAAAGCTGGAGGAAGTTTTTTCTCCCTGCGCTGACAAACTATTCAGATTGACTTGTTGAAATAAGATAATCAAACGTTATCTCTGGATATTGCTTATATAATTGCATACATTTAGCTGATCTGTATAAACTGTTGGTCTCACGATTAGTGAGAGGATCCCACCACCAAGCTAAGGCATTATAGTGGGTGGTGACAAATCTTACAAGCATCGAGCATTGCTTCAATTAGCTTGAGACAGTGACACTTATGAATCCTGTTTGGTGGAATAATTTTTACTCTCTATTATAGATTTCAACCTGCTCCTGTTCAAGTCCTTTTATCCGAAGAAATCACTGGTTCCCTCCGGAAGCTGAAAGTATGTTCTGCTCTTCCTCGTTCCTTTCAAAGCTTTTTTGCTTTGTTTTCATGTTCACTTTGGATAGACATTGAAAATCTTTACCTTATCTCTCTATTTTGTGTTTCCACATACAGGGGTGTTGTACCCTTGCAAGGGATCGGTTTAAAAGTCTCGAGAAAAGAGGACTGATCGTACCAACAGGCAAGAATAGAAGGTCAGTTAATTAATTCCCTCTGTCTTGCGCCCGATTGAAGCTCAAAATAGAATAATTTTTTTCTTTTTAAATCCTCGTACTCTTACCATTTTTGCATGTAATGGCACTGCAGCTATAAATATAGAAATCTATTGCTAAATTAAAATCCATTTCTTCCCTTCTCATACTTCAACTGGAACACATTTTTGGCTGGACAGGAAATAATAACGTACTGAAGATGCGCACCTAGTCATGGCAGAAGGAGAAGATATTTCTAGTTTTGATTAGTTTTTCCCATGGTATTAAGGCTTTCAGTTTTGTATTTTACTTGTGGTCAAAGTTGGAGCCTCTTGATGGCCTACTCTTTTTTGTTCTATGCTCAACTGTGTGTGTGTTTTTTTTAATATGATATAATTTACCACAAATTTTCAATTACAAACAAATCCATTTTTATTTCTTAGAAAGAAATAATATTTCCCGACTCAAATAATGTATGGTTTTATCCAACTATCAAATATAATTTACCACAAATGTGTGAGAATTAAAAATAAAGCTAATTTTTCAAAAAACAAAAATAAAATATGATACATTTTAAAATATCATTATTAAATTGTACTAAAAATTTAATATTATGCATGA